TGGCTGGCTTCTGGTTTTTCCAAGAAAATTGCCAAAAAAGGAAATTTTTTAGGAAATTTAGGATCAGCGGAAAGAGTGATCTTCGTTAAATTTGATAGATATTTAATTATAGTATATATATATATATATATATAATTTTTTTTTAATCACCAGCTCAACTTTTACTTTATTGAATATAATTTTTAAATATTGATATAGTATACAATATATTAAAAATATAATTTTAAACTTATAAAGCTAAATGATATGACTATATTGATTATCCTCGAGCATTTTGTTATCTCTAAAGTAAGAACTAGTAAAAGATCACTAGTGCTGAAAAAAGTTTAAAGAGGAAAGGAAGGAGATCAGAAAATAAATAAGTAGATAGGATAGTCAATCTTTATATACAATTCCTTGCTATATGACTTATACAAGGGAAAGAAAATTTATTAAAACTTCTCAAGTAATGTCAAATACTTATTAATATATAATAATAAAAACACCAGTATATGGTTTAATCATATTTCAGATCTCTCAATAATTTTTGTACAATATCTGTTGTATTTCAAATACCTTTATTTAAGTTCTTGAAAAATGCAGGAATCTTAGTCATTACCTTTGATAGCTAACTTGTTCTTTCTTGCAGAAGCTCTCAAAATATTAGTGTAGATTATACATGGAAATAAGATACTGATGCTCAATAGAAAGGAAAAAATCTTTAAGATAAATCATTGAATCACTTTTTTAGGAGATAGATTCAATTCTATTTAGAAATAAAAAGGAATTGAAAATAGGAATGTATATATTAATACCTGTAGGCCAATTCACAAACTATTTTCTTTGATTTTTATCATTGTAGAACAATATAGTAAAGGTCACTATTCATATACTCTATTCTCTGTATTCTAAAAACTAAGTCAAGAAATAGATATAAAAACTAGTATCCTATTTTCAAATCTTTACCTATTCAATAAATCTGGAGGAAACCTATCTGACAATCAGAGATAGATAACTGTGTTTCTAAAAAATCAGGCACAGTATCTTATAACCTTTACTATAGTTGAATAGATTCTTTCTGAAGATGGTCAATAACTTGTGTAAAGGTATGTCTTATATCCACCTGCACCAAACCCAATAACTTATAGTGAATCCCAGGTTCCTATGAAGTTGAAAAAATATATTTAAGAGATGTAAGATGATCAATAAGAGCTTATTTATATTCTTTTACTGGCATGTATTCTTCTGTCCAATCATTGTGCGAGAAACTTTATGCTATTTAAAATTCAAAATTAAATTGAAGCAAGCAAATTTCTCAGAAAAAACTAAGAACAAGTATTATTAAAGCTACTATTTTAATAAGAGAGTAGGTGGATATGTTTTAAAGAGTCTTTTATTTAAACACAGCTTTGTGATATTTCTCTGTTAAGTAAGTAAAAGAATCAAAATACTTTAGTTCTTCTTTCTTTTAAAACTTTTTTATCATTGATAAGAAGGATATTTTATGACTTGAATTAATGAAAGTTATGTTTTTATATAAAGAGGAATATTTACAAAAGAGAGGAAATGTAATGGTAGTTTTTGTGCTTCTGCTTAAGTTTTATTAAGGAAAGTATTAAGATTTTCTTAGCAAAAAAGTATAATAACTTTTTGTAAATATCTTTTTTATATATGGTCAGAGGATTAATAGAAAGAGTTTGATATAGTTATAATATATATTATATTGCTTGTATAAAAATATATTTATGTTTTCAATTGATTATTATTTAAATAAAAAATCAGTTGAATTAATTTATTTGATATTATAAATAATAATAAAAAAGATTTTTTTTTAAAATTCAAATAAAATAAAAAGAATATTTCAATTAAATAATTTTTTAAAAAAAAAAATAATTTTATTTTTAAACTTTTTTTATGAGACCTTGAATTGTTTTTTTTTTTTTTAATTATTAATCCCTTTTTTTTTTAATTTAATAATTTAATAATTTTTGAATCAATTAATAGTTACAAACTATTGACAATAATCCTAATAAATAGTAATTAATTAAATTATATCAGGGAAGCAAAATATTATTTTCAAAATCTGACTTAAAGTACTTTTGTATAAAGATAAGTTAGTCAATTTATAATTTATTGTAAATTTTAATTTCTTAATAAAGATAAGTCATTGTAATATAATTGTAAATTAAAAAAAAAAGTATTAATCTATAATTCAAGTTAAAGAATTATAATATATTGATAACCAGATTACTTTTTAAAAATTTGTTTTAGAAAAAATCAAAATAGTAATATAATATAATATATATACTGTACTTGTAATATATTTATTATAAGTTTTTTTTTTTTGATTTATTATATACAGTAATTACAGTAAATATTATATATACAGTATATACTGTATATAGATTATATGTTATTTATATTATTTGAATTGATCTATTTTATTGTTGTAATACGATACGACATAAATTTTTTTTTAATAAAAATATCGTTTTATACCAACACCCATACGTAGAAAAGAATAGTTTGCAATCGACGATCAACAAGCTTGGATTTTGTTATTACCACCACCTATGACTTCTGGTGAACAAAACATGCTCACACAACTGGAAAATATGATATGGCATTCCTTGGACAACCATTTGTATAAAAATGCAGTTTTTCTTGCAGGAAGATTACACGCGCAAGATCACAGCAACGAGAATTCGCGTTTCCTACTGGCAACATGCCTTTATCGTAACGGACAAAGGAAAGCCGCATATATGTTATTAAAGGAAGCTCAGACGTTAAAATGTAGATATCTATTTGCAAAATGCTGCTTAGAACTTGATAAAGCAGAAGAAGGCAAAGAAAAGCTCGTGTCGATCTTGCCAGAGGTTGAGGAAATGGATCCCTTTGGTAAAGTAAAGAACGACATATTCTCTTTCTCGGAAATTATTGTGAATTGCCATTTGAGGAAAAAATTACTTATGATTTTTCTTTCCTTTATCACATACAATTAACGTGGGGTTTAACTTCCCTCGATAGAGGCTTTTTGTTCTACAGGCAAGAATAATCAACCCGACGCGTCCGCAGTTTTCTGCCTGCTAGGTGCGTTATGTAAACAGGCGCGTCGCATTGATGATGCAGCACATTATTACCTTCGTTGCATAAAGAAAAATCCTTTTATGTGGGAAGCATTCGAAAGCCTCTGTCAGCTCGGTAATAAACATTGATAGTTTTAAAAATTTCATCTTTCATTGCTCTGCGTCTCATCACGATTGATAAAATAGGTAAATCAAAACAGGTTGAGATTGACGAAATATTTCAACCAAGCGCAGAAAAATCATCAAGAGTTCCGTGTGCCGATCTGTTTCGTAATTCTCAAATATTTGTATCACATTCGGTACGTGGTAAGATCTTGCTTCTTTTTTAATAATCCTATTAATTATTTAGCATTTCAATCGTAGAATTCAAAAGGTGAAAAAAGCCCACGACGAAGTACGAGGATTTCCTCTATAAAGGTTTGCATATTTCTTGGTTAATATCTTTATCCATTTGCGGTGTCAATTCACGACCGTCAGTAATTATTTCAACATATAAACGTAGCAATCCACAGTAATCATGAATTCTACGGCTGTAATTGACAACCGAGATAAGAAACGCTCTCGCATCTCTAACGATGAAAAAAATTTAATTGGACCAGAGGACGAAAAGAAACGATCTAGGTTAACCAGAGATGGAAAATTGGTCACAAATGTGGAGAATGAAGTTGTAAATAAGTTGATTGTGTCAATGTCTTGCGAGTTCAATGTCAACCATCAGTTTGCTAATCGTTCTGATAATAGACTGAAGCCTTGCAAAAAACTACATTGGACCCCCAGACCGGATTAGAAAGTGTTGGAACGATTGATAGAATGGAAGATATTCAATGTAAAAATGAAATATTAGATGTGTTAAGGCAATTAGCTAAAGGTTATGGATATTTAAGTCAATACGAATGTGCCAAAGCCGTTAAAGCTTTTACGGAACTTCCTACCTCGCATAGAAATACAGCATGGGTCCAAAGCCATATAGGAAAGGCATATTTTGAAATGGTTAACTACCAAATGGTAATTTATTCATCACTATTTTTTTATAACATCAATTATGAAATTTCATGATCACCATTTATGTGCATGCTTAGGCCGAAAAACATTTTATAAGAGCGCGACAACTGGAACCTTATCGCCTCGAAGATATGGAATTATACTCAACAACATTATGGCATTTGCGCAAGGATCCAGCTCTTAGTGCTCTCGCGCATGAGCTTGTTGAGTTCGAACGCAGATCACCTCAAGCTTGGTGTGCGGTCGGAAATTGCTTCAGTCGGCAGCAGGAACATGATTTGGCATTGAAGTGCTTTCAACGAGCAATACAGCTTGATCCCTCGTTTACCTATGCTCACACCTTATCTGGTCATGAATGTATGGCGAATGCGAATTACAAGGATGCACAAAAACACTTTAGAAATGCCTTAAGCACGAACAGGCGCCATTACAATGCTCTGTAAAATATTTCGTTTTAAAAATTGTTAAGCTTTTGTCTTTTTGTATTTTACGGCTTTAATTAAAACAATCAATTCATTCTTTGTTCCCAGGTACGGTCTGGCGAATTATTTCATCACGTGCGGTAAAATACAAGAGGCAGAGAAACATTATAAATTGGCCATGGATATTAACCCGAATCACGCTGTCCTTATGTGTTGCTTGGGGAAGGTAAGTATGCGTACATCATGTGTATTCGGGAAAAATATATCTAACGCTTTGACGCAGGTGCTAGAAAAGATGGGTGACCCTGAAAAGGCTCGTGTCCTTTATGATCAAGCATGTCAAGTTAATCCGCAAACACCTTTGGCAATATTCAAAAAGGCGAAGTCTCTATATAAAGAATATAAATATGAGGTTTTCTCTTTTCCTTTTCATTTCCTTCTTTCTCACTTTGTCGATAAACTCCGCTGATACCTCTCTACTACCCAATCGAAACTTCCATAACATAAAGGCAGCCCTCGCAGAATTGGAAAAACTTAAAAAGATAGTTCCCACTGAAGCCAAGATTTATTTTCTTGTGGCAAAGATTTATAAGGCGATGGGTGATCGAACAGAAGCTACTCAAAATTTCACATTAGCTTTGCATTATGATCCCAAGATGATGCATGTTGTTAAAACTGCCATGGAAAGACTTGATTCCGATCCAGAGATAACGATGACTTCCATGATATCAGATGCGATTAATTATGGGAGTCAAGGGGACGAAGAGGATACGCATGAACAGGAGCAAGTGAGTCAGGTGCATGCTCAAAACGACAGGGAAGAAGAGTATGGAACATATGCAGCCTTTGTTGACGAAGTTTAAATTTGCTGTTCGGAGGAATTTATCGTGGAAACGAGGACACGAGGCTTTAAAATATTTAACTTAAAATGAGACGTCGACAAATTCAAGAATAATGTGAGAGATCATGTTGGAATTGTATCACTAATGGCTTTGAATAGAGAAGGTTTACTGTAAATAGGTGAGTTGGATTTTTTTTTTTTTTTTTTTTTTTTTTTTTATTCCGACTTCCGATCACATCGAACTCTAAAATAAAAATGAACACTGCACATGATTGT